CTTGAATTTTTTCCATATCAACTTTAAATTTTTCTTGATTTTTGCTTAAGATTGTGATTGATTTATTATAATGATCAACAAGTCTTTTGTACAAAGAAATTTGAAGATTTGTTTCACTGATAATATTTTTTTTTATTTTCTTGCAATGTTTTTATAGCATTATTGTATCTTTCTTCGTCATCAGAATCAAGATTTCCAAATACACATTTGTTAATTTTTCCAATTGCATTTATTAGAGCTCTTTTATGTCTTACATGAGAAATTAAATTATTGATCTTTTTCTGAAAAGTAAATATTAGATATTCTGTTCTTGTTAACATATTTTGCGATGAGCTATGATAAGATATAGGATTAGTTGCATTAACATGGACTATACTGTTTTATCGATTCAAAATGATTAACTAAATTATTAACTTGTTTAACTACTTCTCCTAAATCTAAATAATGTTAAAATGTATGTTTGCTATATATAAGTTTAGCGTTTCCTAACTGAATAGGAAGCAGAAAATTTTCAATCGGAGTGATCTGTATATCAGAAGTTGTACTATGTATTTGGTATACATAAATGACGTAGAACATGTACTTGGAACAGCGTTGTTATCAAAATGGATTTCATTTTGGTTGGTATCCTGTATTAATTTTTCTAAATTAATTTTCGGTTTTCTAACAATACTTCAATGAAATTTGCCTTTTTTAATTTTGGTAATTTTTTATTTCTTGATTTTGTTTTGACAAAATATGAGTTTTGATTAGAATAGTTACCTGGTTCAGATCTCTTTTCATTTAATTTGTTTACTAAATTTTCTTTTACTTCTTCGTTACGTTGTTTAATTTTGTTATACATCTGTTTACTAATTTGTTTATGATCTTGTACATAATTAGAAATTATTAAGAGATCGTCTAAATCAAAGTGCTTTGAATTATCAATGTGTCTTTTAATTATTTCAAAAGGCGTACACTTTATCACTGAATATATACTATTATTATAACAAAATACAGATTTTTTAATTAGTGGATCTGGTGTGAAATGTTTGTTTTCTTCTTGTAAACATCTATAATGTTCTAATGGAATTACAATTTTTTTTGCGGTAGTGATATGTAGTTGGATATGGTGTAATTTATAAAAATCTTCTAAATAGAAATTTTTTAATTCTGTTCCACTGTCGGTAGTAATTTTTTATGGTAGTCCGTGATGTAAAATAAATTCTAAGAGTTTTTCTACGACTGAAATTCTTGTTATACAATCTAGGGGATAAACCTAACCATATCGCGAAAAAGAATCAATTATAGTCAAATAAGATTCATTATAAATGTAAAACATACCTAAATGTATGTATTCAAAGGGTTTTGATGCAGTGGGTATCAAATTAAATTATAGTACTGGTGGATTTCGATCATATTTATTCTTTAAGCGTGTTTGACCGTTATTAATTAAATTTTCAATATCATTAGCCATTCAAGCCAATAATATCTGGAACTAGTGCTTAGCTATTTCATTTCAGTTGTACTACAAAGTACAATATATTTGGTTTTTAAAAAATTCAAAGATCAGTATATTTTGAAATTTATTAAAGAATTTTATAAATTCTTCATTATGTTCTATTTTTAATATTTTTCTTTAAAGAAGTAGTTATTTTTGCAAAAAATAACTTTCTGCATAACTTTTTTAGTAATATCCTATATGGCCAAAGAATGATTTGAGATTTTTTTTTTGTATTTTAATAAAATTAAATTTAAAAGTAGGAATATGAGTATTTGTTTCAATTAAATTAGGTTTATCTCTGTCATGATAGTACTTAATACTTTTTGAATTTTGTTCCTTTTCTCTTAAAATTTGAAAAACATTTAAATTTTATTATCTTCCCGTTACATTTATATGTACCCGGTGTTTTCATTTCAGTCTTAATTTTATTATTAGGTAATTTATTAAAAAAAAAAAATATAAGAAGCTCTATAAAAATTCCAATAAAATACATATATTTTGTGCTTTAAAATTTACTTACTTTAACTAGAGAAATTATAAATACTCCATTCGAACTTATCTCTAAATTATATTGCAAATAATGTATTGCATACTTTTAAATCTACAACAGAATTTTATCACATTTCATCTATTTACTAAAATTTTGATTTTCACGGTAAAATGTGCAGTTATTCGCTCCGTGCGAAGTCATGGAAAGGGAAGCAAAAGCGATACTAGCGCTAGCTGCGGATAATTCGTGCATTTTAGGGGGATATTTTGTAATTTTGGCATATCAAATACACGTATACATTTTACTTTTTTTCAAAAAAAGTAGGTAAAAACAATACAATAAGCAACCGGAGTTACTGTGTTGAAAATTGTACAAATACTAGCAATAAAAACAGTGAAACTTATATAAAAAATTTCAGTAGCAAAGTGGAAATTAAATTATAGAAATGAATGGATAGATATACAATAAGAAGGAAAATTACCTTTATTTTTGTAATAATAACCGTAATGCTGCAAATAGTAGACATCAGAAACTTGAAAGGTTTTAAATCAACAATAGATTATCATTTTACCATGTTCTTTAATATCCCTTATTCTTAAATGTTCATTCAGCAAGGACTAGATTTCAAGATTTCTGCCTTTGATTATTATATGTGGTTGGAACGCAATTTTGTAAATTACTGATAGGAAATCAGTTTTAATCATTCATTCTATGTTTTCTTTCGAACAAAAATGAATATATAAGTAATGATCCTTTTTTATACATTTTAACTTCACGCTATTATTAAATGGTATTTTTGTATTTTGACAGAATAGACTAATTCTTCAATGAAAACTTATTAGACTTAGGCAACTTCTCATACATTTTCCTGTAAATACTGTTGCCTGCCTATATTTTATTATGGATTTTTATCAATTATACATAATTTTCTTTAATTTAAGCGATAAAAATATATAATAATAATAAATTAATGTTTTACTTGTTTTACAAATCCATATACTTTTATTAAAACTAACATGTATACTTTTTAATTACGAATTCTATTAAAAGTTGCATTTGTCAGTATACGCCGAAATCCCCCATTAGTATCAAAACGAATTGGCGCTGCTGTCGCGCACGGAGCGAATAGTAATTGAATGAATAATTTATAACATACATATTAACTTCGTAATAGTTCTTTTAAAATTTTACACCAATGATCATCTTTAGAAAACGTAAAGATACTACGTTCTAGCTGTTAGCACGCCGTATGTCAAGGACACTTTTATCAGCTTGGAAGACTACCTTCGTTGTGTTTTATTGGTGGAAGACTATTATTTTTATTTTTCTAACTATAAAAATAAGCATCACACTTGGTTTCACCTTTGCGACTATAATTTTTTTATTATTTTTTTTACGCCTATTTATGTGGATGGAAGACGTACTTTGTTGTAATATTCAGATGGAAGCCGACATTTTCTAATATTTTTATGTTTATATCAACGTGTACACCAAGTTTCATCCATGCGAAAATGATTTTTTTTATAATTTTTTTACTGGAATTGCAACCCTCTCGCAACCCTCTGTTGTACAACTGGAATGGAAGACGATGATTTTTCTGTTAGATGCTATTTAAATAACTCATATTCAAAAAATAAAGCTTGCGAAAATGGTTTATTTAAATCTGTCATTACCTCCCGGACTATACCTCATAATATTTAATTAAAACAAATACGAGGTGGTCAAAAATTCAGATTAGGTAAAATATAAAAGTACACGAACTTTTGTATTTTTGTTGAAAATCAATAAACTTTTAAAAGTTCACATTTTATTATTAACTTGCCTGTTGCATTTTTATACTAATCGATTTTGTCTTTTCCCTTAAGTTAAGAAGACCTTAAATGGTATACAGACAACAATACACTTAGGACTGGTTGTATAAAGCTTACTTAAAATTAAGCTCAGTTTTAGGTGATACATGTCAATTTCCAATGCTATATGTGCAGTCTAATCTTTGGGGAAACAAGCCCTAAGCGCTAAATGGTATTTAGACTGCACCTATGCCATACAAAATTTGTCATGTGTCACCTCAAACCCAGTTTAACTTTAAGTAAGATTTATACAACCCGCCCTTAAGATATCTAACTTTAAGGAATCCTTAAGAAAGTCGTTGCAAACGGCTGTTAGTTTGACACTTTGAATTACCAATTTAAAAATTTTATTTGTACCGGTCCGATTGGTTCATGGTTCCTCAATTCTATAATAAATTTTTGTTTTATCGGCAAAGTAATTTGAAAAGTAATTATAAAAGTAATTGCTAATTCCTTTTTTCATGTAATTGTAATTAAATCAATATAATTACTAATTTCTTGGCACCATTTTAATGAGCACAAAACTGCGCAACTTTTGTCTAATTTAACCCACTTTCTATCCGTTAGCGTTTAAGAAATATCAATACTGTCCCTACGAAATAGTAGAGACCCTGTATAATTTGCAGGACTTTGACCTGAGAGGCTGGCTATCCATAGATACCCTCAGCGGCAACAAGGTTTTTGATGAGTTGATAATTTGCAGGACTTAGATGAGCTGAGAAGATAGCTGTCTTGTAGACACCCATCAGGGTTAACCAGCAGGTTTTTGACAAGATGCAGGTCCTATATGCCCCTGGAGGATGCACAATCGGCCTAATGAGGTTTAAGTAATTGGAGAAACCCACACCCCCCCACCTTTCAGATACATACATTGTTAGGAACTATATAAAAATAAAAACTATCAAAGATTCTTGGCTAATAAAATAAATAAACTGTAAAACATTATTATTGTATTATGGTCAATGGTATTGTATCCTCATATCACGAGTGGTATCTCAAGGGAGACTATATCTAAACGAAATTTGAATTTAACTGATTAGAATAATTTTAATGTAAACCCAGAGCCTGAAGAATGCATGTCAAACCTGGAGTCTTTAAGTCAAAAAGACATTGGCAACCTTAAAGTCAACTAATTTTACAATAATTACAATGTTCTATATATGTTAAAACCACTTACCTATAATATTCACAATAACTTAAGCAAGAAGCAACAAGAGAATTTTTGAAGGATGAGTATTCTCTAGAGTTAAATCTGTTCATTCCTGAAAATCCTTGACATGGTGGTCCACCAACTAACATTTCAACCTCACCTTTTTCAGGTAATCCCCTTCCTTTTCCTTCATTATTAAGAATAAGTTTTAGCAATTCATTGCAATCGTTGGTAAACACTTTACAATCGGGATTGTTTAGTTTAAAAGCATTGGCAGCAGGTATATGACTTTCAATCTTAAAATAAAATACAGTTAATGACGGTGGAACGAACATCACCATACACATTAGTGTAAATTATGGGGACTAAAAACTAAAATGGTCTGCATAAAAATAACCTGTTTGTAACGTTTCAAATATATTTTTTATCTATTTAGGAAACAAATACTTACTGCCCATTTGGAATCTGCAATTCCACTCTGTTTCAGTCCTTCTGATAGACCACCACAACCAGCAAAAACATCCATACACTTTAAAGGCTTAGGAATTGCATCCCAAACTGGTGTTAATTTTGGCATTGTATTTTTTCTTTTCCCTTTTAAAATTTAAAATAGTCATTAAATATTTTAAATGAAAATATTAATATGGTAAAAATACCTTTGCCCTTTCCTGAAATTCCTATATTTTTAGCATGTGTTGGTAAATTGACTACTTGATTTGTTTTTGGATCATATGCTTCAGTAAAATAAAAACGGAAAGGGCCTTCTTCTGCCCATTCACTAGGATATTCTGTGTTATATCCATATGTCAAATAACATTTACCTTCTACGTTCTCAAATGATACTGTTATTTCTGAAATAAGAATTGTATAAGTAATTAAGTAAGTAATTATAACAAAGATTATTTTAAATTATCATGCAGCACATTTTTAATAAGTATGTTGACCAATTTAACCGAAAATAAACAAAAATATTTAAAAATGTAGATGGATTCGCAATCTATTTTAATTTGTTTTTTCCTACCAGTTACACTTTTTTTTCTGCAATTTTATGATCCACATTTAAAAAATTACCAGCAAAAAATTTTGTATAATTATAAAAGTCTTAAAAAAATAACACTGTATTATATTACTTTTAAGACATGATCTTACCTTTGTCACTATAATACAAATAGTTTAAATCTTTGGTGTATGCTGAAAATATAGAACCATAAGTATTTTCAGGCCTAAACATGATTTTTACTTTAATTTGGATATCTTTTTTCTTTGATTCCAGTATTTCTTCTATTATGCCAATGACAAACGGTGGAGGAGTGTCCTTATTTGAACATTTTAAATTTTCACTTCTTTTACGATAATACTCTGGATAAATAATTTCATCCACTAAATTTTCTTTCTAAAATAGTATCAATAAGCATATAATGATGGTTGTTATTCACGCAAATAAAGTGAAAATCATGCTAGTGAATAACAACCATTATCTGCGAGTAGAATATACTACGAGCCCCGTCCAGTTTCAGTTGGCCCACACATAAAATTAGTAATATTTTTGGATTTTTTCGCTCAAGGAGAAAACCAGCCTCTACAGTGTAATATTTAAGGCAAAATATACTATTTACGGGAATATAGAAGATATCTGAGTTCAATGTATAGTGCTGTCTCACAAAAAATACATGGTTAAAAAAGTAGTATCCTTGCGTTCATTCTATTAATAGAGTTGACAAATTTGTTAACTCTATGATTCTATTACCCAAGTATTGCTAACGACGAGGGTTAAGGTGGCTATGAAAACAACACTTTTTTGACGGAAATGACAGTGACATAAGTTCCGATTGTAAAACAATTACTTAATAGTCCTATTTGTTGTCAATAATGGGGAGAGGAAAGGCAATTGATGAAAATATTCGATCAACTATCATTAATTTACACAAATCTGAAAAATCAAATGGCGAAATTGGAATATTACTCGGCTTATCCAGATACAGTGTTCGAAATATTGTTCAATTGTACAAACCAAACGGTTCAGGTGCCCAAAAGGCCCGATATGTGAAAAAGTCCAAATTAACAGACAATGATAGACGAGCATTAGCCAGAATTATTAAGTCTAATAGGCGTGCTAACTACGGAGAGTTAAGTGTACTCTGGAGTGAGGCCGTTGGAAGACGTGTTTGTAGGTCTACATGTCATGCAGAAGCCAGAAAACTAGGATTTGGTACATACAAGGTAAGTTTTCTGAGTTCAATCTAAAGGTTCAAAAGATAATAATCTTTTTCGTTTGCAAAGGCTAAAGAAAAACCGTTACTGACTCCAAAACAGAAGCGAGACAGGTTGAAATGGGCTAAAGATCATCGAAATTGGGATATGGAGAGGTGGAATATTATACATTGGAGTGACGAATCGCGATTTGAAGTGTGTGTCGGTGATAGCCGGAGCAGAGTTATCCGCCAGAAACATGAAACTTATCATCCTGATTGTCTTAAGCGCAAAGTTAAATTTCCATCTTCGGTAATGGTCTGGGGTTCAATGTCGTCTAGAGGGGTTGGAAAATTAAACTTTATCAACGGAATTGTAAACACAGAAAAATATTTAGACATTCTAGAGGACTCTTTGTTGCCTACTTTGGAAGAGAGTAGGATTTCTGGAAATGACTTCACCTTTCAGCAAGACGGTGCTGCCTGTCACACGTCCAAAAAATCCATGAAATGGCTTTCAGATCATGAAATACCACTCCTAAAATGGGTTTCCTCTAGTCCGGACCTTTCGCCTATCGAGACTTTGTGGCATGAAATGAAAAAGCGGTTAAGAGCCAATCCTGCCAGAACTGTTCCAGAACTCAAGCACAGGCTCCAGAATATTTGGGATAATTTCACTCCAGCGCAGTGTCAGGATTTAGTAAATACTATGCCGAGAAGAATTGAAGCAGTTATTAAAAATAAAGGGGACGTTACTCAGTGGTAGAATAAGATATCTTAGAGTTTAAAAAATCATAAATTTCCTTATTTCTAGTTTTTAAGTCCTAATCATTTCCAGTTGTTGTAACTATTTTATTTTTTATGCAAAATGTTTTTAAAATGTTACTTTAAAAATAAAAGTGAACAATTTTACCTCTATAACTCAAATGACCTTCTATACACGGCAATAATATTTAATCAGGTGGGCCAACTGAAGCTGGACGGGGCTCGTATATTTAATCAAAAGATAAAATAATTTTAGCTAAAATTACCACAAATCTTTATTTTTATTTAACTAATTAAAACAAAAATATAATTTTATTTATTAACATTAATATGACTGTATTCACACAATGTGTTACATTAAACTGTGGTTCTTAATTCACCGATTGATATTACTCAAATTATCTTACAGGCTAAATAAACACAGATTCACGAGTTTCGACGTATTTTTTCATATACTACGAGCCCTAACAACTATATGTTGGAACAAGCAGTTATTTTGCGAATAAAATGCCAATTTAACAAAAATTTTTATGATGTATGGAATTGTTTATGGTTTAATTATATTTTTTGTTGATTACTATTTAATTACTTGTTTGACAATCGAAAAATGCTGACAACTAAATATTGGAGCATATTTAGTTTTGCCTTAGGTTTCTTGAGTTTTATCAGCCTAACGCGAAGAAGGCTTTGAAATGAAACATAATAGGTCTTTTCCTTTGCATCGACAGTGTAGCACTGAGCTACGTCACTTCTGAAAATATTGTTCCATCCATAAAATTTGTATACATGCACAACAAACTGTGGTACCAGCAGAGGTTGCCACAGTGTCACTTTCGGTTAAACGTATAAGGATAATAATTATTAGTTCCCAATGTTTTAAGGTTCGAAATACTTAATATATGGAGCTTAATATTTAACAGTTCCTTTAAGAATCTGGATCATATTCATAAAATTTCTCATTTAATTTTCTTCTGCATTGAATCGGTGTTTAAATTAGATGTTTTTAGTTTTGTTCACTACGATCCATCGGTTTAATCATTAAATACTATATTTTAACTGGACATTTGGCAACCCTGTTTCTGTATGTTTTTAAAAGTGTCTTTCAGTGTTTTATTTTAGTGAAATATTCTTGTTTTATTTATTTATTTATATGAAAGAAATTATTTACAAACGTGATTATACATTTCAAAACAGTAAAGAGATGCATAGTTTTCCGAACAATTTGGACCAAAAACACCCAAAACCAATGCTTGCTATTTTCACAGGTAGGTTATGTCCAAATCAATCTCATGAAATGTAAATAATGTAGATATCCATGGGCGTAACAACTGTGCTAGGGTTTTTTTTATTTCTTGGTATAAAAATACCTAATAGTAGAAACTGGCTATTTTATGATATATACGTTTTACACGTTTCTGAGAGACATTGTCTAATGTCATTGTGGCTGAACAACTTGAAAATAAATGAGCAAGATCTCAAAACTGAAAGATGCCAAAGTTTGTTCAGATCACTTTTCACATGAAGATTTATTTAGCTATAATAAAATAGAACATTTTATTTGAAATCCAATGTTTTGCCAATAGGGTAAGTAAACAAGTGTCTTTATATACATACTTTCGTATTGATATACGTAAAAGGTAATTTATAAGTATTTATTGAAACGTCTACTTACACCTAGTTAAACAATTCGTTTCTGAAACTAAGTGTTATTGAGGTCTAAAATACTGTGAAAAATAGCTTAGAACTGTTGTCTCCCAGTTGTAGTTTAATAAACACAAAGTAAACTTTTTTGATTATATTAACCCATTATTGAAAACATAATTTTTTTTAGTACATACTTCGTTGAGGGAAGTAGTATAGAAAATGTATATGATGATTATATTCGCTCAGTGCGAAGTTATGGTAGGGGAAGCAAAAGCGATACTAGCGCAAACTGCAGATAATTCGACCACTTTAGGGCGATATTTTGTAATTTTGGCGTATCAAATACACGTATACATTTTACTTTTTTTGTAAAAAAAGTAAGAACAATGTCATAAGCAACCGTAGTTGGTGTGTACTAGAAGTAGAATCTCCCAATGTATTTATTTTTTTATTTATCTTCTAAAAAGTAAGTTTACACTTTTTTTACAAAATTAAATTATTTTCTAATTTATTCTTTTTTTTTAATTTATTCGGGTTCTGTGAATTAGAAAAGGAAACATCAATCCACGTCCTGCACCAATGTGAAAGCCTAACTAGATTGAGATTTCTTATACTAGATGAAGAAAAGCCAGACATATGTAACTACATGCATGTGGATGCCACTGTCAAAGAAAATAAGTCTAATAAAAAAGTCCAAGCTTAGATGACATACTCTAAAACAAACGGAGTCCCACAATAGATCTGAAAAGGTCGCGGTGGACACGGACACATAATGTCAAACTCCTTTTAAATCTAATATCTAAGCTACCCTTATTTTTGACAGAAGCGTCGTGACATACCACTCATATTTTGGTAAACCTTTTTTGTACAATTAGCTATCGCATCATAATTTTTACGTAATAGTCTTCAGTATTCTAAGAAATTCATGTATTCGTTTAATTGGGCATTTAGAAGCAAATTGATATGAAAATATTGTTTATTATTCGCACTCATAAGGAGCCTGTATAATAATTGCAAATGGTTACAACGTTGCCAACTGTCAGTTAAAATGTTGAATATTGCATAAAACCATGGAAGTGACTCTTTTTTCGAAATATCAGTATACAATTTCAAGACAAAATAATCAAAACGATAAACCCCCTTGGATTATGGAGGAACATAATAATGATCCCATATGCGCGGGGTACTGCCTAAATATAACCAATGGGTTTTGAATAGTAAACAATTTTACTGCAGGTAAATATACTAAATACTTATGGTATCTAATACCGACCAATTTAAAATGAGTTGTTTACATGTAGTAATTATTAAGGTAGTTCACGTGCGATAGTCGTACACAAAAATATCGCCAATAGTTTGAGATTCTCAATGCTGAAAAATGTTATTTTTGTAAGATACTGAACACAACACATGTAAGCTTATGTACGGATACGTTATTATTTCAAGTAAAATCCATCCGGCAACGTCACAAATATAGGAATGGTGCGATATCAAGTGTATACCTATAGAAATTTTGTGACTTCCTCATACTAATTTTAAGTTATAACAACCTCTTAGCTGATCGAGTGTAATTCAGTGATTCTGAACTAACAATGTTGCCAAGTTGTAATCATTGTACCCCACTACGCGTCGACTGCTTTAAACATATTTTTCTTTTAAAAATCTATCCTTTTACCAAAACGGTCAAAAAATTCAACGTTTTTTTAGAAAATTGAACTTTTTGATTTACATTACATTAGTTTTTAAAAAAATATAGTAAGAACTGTTTTCGAAATATCTTGAAATAAATGCATTG